AGCATGTAAATTTAGATAAAACAATGAAGAAATAATAAAAAATGATTCGTGAAATTTATACATTATCATCATTGACAAAAACATCGGAATTAGTCTGAACCGTTTCTATTTTGATTGTGGGTAATGCGTCGGCATTTTGATTCTTCCGGAGCGCAGCTTTGGTCAGCTTATCGCTCTTCCGGATCTGCCTGACTATGTCAAGATCATCGGGGAACCACCATTGTTTCACAAATGTTATTACATATCGCGGCAGGCCTGCCACAAAGATTGAGAACAACATGCCAAACCAAAATGTCCCCTCACTGAATAGCGTAATTGCTATGCCGTAAATTGTAGTATTGAACAGTCCATAAATAAGAACGTATGCAAAGAGAAAGACTAGTTCGGCAATTTCCACTGCCCATACGAACCAAGACCAGTAGTATGTGTTAAATCCCACAAATAAATTTGCTATTACAATTGCTGTGATCGCAACTGCTGTGGAAAATTGTGTCTCGGCAATTTCATATCCTGAGCTCCCGTTCGTGGATATTGAATAGATGAGATAGAATGTGAAATAAATCGCAAGTGATTGCCAGATTCCGTCAAGAAAATAGATGAAAAATAATCTTTTAGAGTAACGTTTCTGAAGTATGCCTAAACGGTAAACGCTAGGATACTTCAGACAGTACGAAGCACCCACCGACTGATCAGTTGCACCTTTGCGAAAATAAATGTTAATCGGTTAGTAATTAAAGTGTAGTCGGGTATAATGATGAAGCCTAAAGCAAAGAGATAAGATACCAAGGATGATCACGGGACCGACCGTAAACAGCATGTTATATAACTGTACGAAACTGTAATCATAAAATATATTGGCAGAGAACCTAGAAGAAATTGATATATCATTTATTTGTGACAAGGGACTCGAAAATTAATCGCAGATATTATAATTCAATTTACTTACATGCAATATATCTGGTACCATAAAACCGGAAATACCCATATCACATTTTTATAAAAGAAATTTAGGATCATCTCGGATATACGAATATAGTCCCAATGTCCGTGAACCAGAAGAAGTTTGGTTATATATCGAAATTGAGAGATAGAATAATCCGCGGCCATCGCTGCTTGAACACCTAATGTGAATAACAATTAATGAATTAGATTATGATAAAATGGCTGCACTTTTATTTGTTCAACAAAAAATTTTAGAACTTCAAAAATAATTATATATTATTTCGTATTTAAAT